GATGCTATCTATAGAAAGTGACATTACCAAAACCCTTGACTTTAAAATGATTTTGAAAAGATTTTGCAAATAAAGCCAGAAAAGTGTGTGTTTCTAAAAGGTCCGTGCATAAACAGTTTGTCTGTAATTGTCTTAACTTGTAATAAAAATCAAAACTTTTATACTGTTTTAAACTTTTAGTATATCAATATTTATTCTTTTTGGCTAAGGCGGGCATACTACACGAAATATAAAACATCAATCTTCGACTTTGTAGAGTAGAGGCCCCACTATCAATTTCTGAATTGGGCCCCGCAATTCCTAGCACCGGCCCTGGTGGTGGAAGTCATCACAGGTAGGCGAACATTTTTTTGGAAACCAGACAATCTTCTTTTCAAAGCCTGTTTTAATTCCTTAATTTCCTTCTTGGTCATCTTTCCCTTGGCCTCTCTCTTGGCCAAGGCATTTATCTTCTTGGCCGAAGTTGGATGTTTCTTTCCCTTGACCTCTCTCTTAGCCCAGGGCATTTATCTTCTTGGCCGAAGCTGGGTGTTTCTTTCCTTGGCCTCTCTCTTGGCCGAAACTGGGTGTTTCTTTCCCTTGGCCTCTCTCTTGGCCGAAACTGGGTGGCTTCTTTCCTTGGCCTCTCTCTTGGCCGAAACTGGGTGTTTCTTTCCTTGGCCTCTCTCTTGGCCAGGGGAAACTGGGTGTTTCTTTCCTTGGCCTCTCTCTTGGCCAGAAACTGGGTGTTTTCTTTCCCGCCAGCCTCTCCTCTTGGCCGAAACTGGGTGTTCTTTCCTTGGCCTCTCTCTTGGCCAAAGCTGGGTGTTTCTTTCCCTTGGCCTCTCTCTTGGCCAGAAACTGGGTGTTTCTTTCCTTAGCCTCTCTCTTGGCAGGAAACTAGATGTTTCTTTCCCTTTGGCTCTCTCTTGGCCGAAATCCGTGTTTTCCCCTTGGCTTCTCTCTCTGGTCGAACCGGGTGTTTTTCCTTGGCCCTCTTGGCCGAAACTGGGTATTTTTTTCCTTGGCCTCTCTCTTGGCCGAAACTGGCGGCTTTTTTCCTTGCCTCTCTTGGCCGAAACTGGGTGTTTTTCCTTTGGCCCTCTCTCGGGTCGAAACTGCGTTTCTTTCCTATTCTCTCTCTTGGCCGAAACTGGGTGTTTCTTTCCTCATTCTCTCTCTACGAAACTGGCAAGTTTCTTTCCTTGCCTCTGGCCGAAACTGGGTGTTTTCTTTCCCTTGGCTTCTTGGCCGAAACTGCGTTTTTCCTTGGTCTCTCTTGGCCGAAACTGCGTTTCTTTCCCTTGGCCTCTCTGCCGGAAACTGCGTTTCTTTCCTTGGCCTTCTCTTGGCCGAAACTGCGTTTCTTTCCTGGTCTTCTCTGGCCGAAACTGGGTGTTTTTCCCTGGCCTCTCTCTCTTGGCCGAAACTGGGTGTTTTCCCTATTCTCTCTTGGCCGCGAAACTGGGTGTTTTCTTTCCCTTGGCTCTCTCTCTGGCTGGGTCGAAACTGGGTGTTTTTTTCCCTTGGCCTCTCTCTTGGCCGAAACTGGTGTTTCTTTCCCTTTGGCCTCTCTTGGCCGAAACTGGGTGTTTCTTTCCCTTGGCCTCTCTCTTGGCCGAAACTGGGTGTTTCTTTCCCTTGGCCTCTCTCTTGGCCGGCCGAAACTGGGTGTTTCTTTCCCTTGGCCTCTCTCTTGGCCGAAACTGGGTGTTTCTTTCCCTTGGCCTCTCTCTTGGCCGAAACTGGGTGTTTCTTTCCCTTGGCCTCTCTCTTGGCCGAAACTGGGTGTTTCTTTCCCTTGGCCTCTCTCTTGGCCGAAACTGGGTGTTTCTTTCCCTTGGCCTCTCTCTTGGCCAAAGCTGGGTGTTTCTTTCCCTTGGCCTCTCTCTTGGCCAAAGCTGGGTGTTTCTTTCCCTTGGCCTGGTACGTCTTGTTCTTCGTCGAGGCCGTTTTGTTGCGTGTTTGGGGTCCCCAGAGCCAGTTGCGGACGGCGGCGCTAATTAATGAGGAGGAATCGGTGTTGTCCTGGTCACGGCCGGATTTCCTGCATGGGCACTGACAGAGGATCATTTTGCCAGACAAAAAATCTTTGAGACGGAGGAGGAGATCTTTCACGTCCTCCTCACGGTCAGGAAGGTTCTCGGGGGAGGGTGATACGGTCTGGGCGCTGTTGGCAGGCGACTCGGCGTTCTCCACCTGGTCCTCGCTGACGAAGGGGCTGGTGAATGAGCAGCAACACACCACCTCATGCTTCTGCAGCAGTTGGGCCTCCGACAATTCTCTAGTAATTGCCACCAGAAATATTAAAAAACTGAACTTCATTTTAAAAAGGAGTTTCTATTCAAAAGGTATTGTGCGTTTTTTTACATTTGATTTGTGTACAGGTATATGAGAACTTTCCCAGATCATGACACACACACACACACACACACACACACACACACACACACACACATTTTGAGGTAAAAGGAAATAAACATGGATAGGTAATTACACTTTGACTCTACTGTATCATAATCACTTGTGTTTTGTTATTCAGAGTTAAAGGAAAAAGTGACCAAGTTCTTAAGAATCAACTTTATACAGTTCGTGTGTTTGTACGTGGGGCAGAGGAGGAGTGTGTGTGGGAGTAGCGGGGCGGAGGAGTGTGTGTGTGTGGGAGTAATGGGGCGGAGGAGGAGTGTGTGTGGGAGTAGCGGGGCGGAGGAGTGTGTGTGTGTGGGAGTAATGGGGCGGAGGAGGAGTGTGTGTGGGAGTAATGGGGCGGAGGAGGAGGAGTGTGTGTGTGTGTGGTCAGCTGGGTTTGTGTATTCCGTCAATATAACTCAATTTCCGTCTGGTTGTAATGGAGGTCACCGCGAGCGTCGTCCTCATCCTGGTCTATATAAACAACTTCACTTAATTTATATATATACATTGTGAAAACGACTCGATGTGGATTTTCTCCTCTAATGAATTTTTCTATAACTGATGGATTTATATAGATGAATTTACTCCTCGGATTTATTCTTGGGATTAATTATATAATATTTATTAGTTTTAATGAGGATTTTTCTTTTATCTTTAGACAGTTTCTATGTTATTTGTGATTTAGATACAGGGTGATCGAAAAAGAATGCCTAGGTTTTAATATACAGGATAACTATAGTTTTTGCATGATCCTGTAACATTATGTCACGAATTCCAGTATTTGAGATTAGTGTGTGTGTGTGTGTGTGTGTGTGTGTGTGTGTGTGTGTGTGTACTATTGACGTGTGCCTCCTTGGTACTTACAAAACATGCCAAATATATTCCTCACTTATACTTATAAAAGGTTGTTATTTTAGTACTTATTAATATAGGTTTATGTAGTACTTAAAGCACATCTCTTCATTGCTACTTACAAATCGTTCGTTCCAGCAGTACTTATAAAACTTTTTTCTCATTGGTACTTATAAAAGGGATTCAGAAATTGTGATATATTTAAAGGTCTTTCAGAAGTGTAGTGTAGATAAAATTACCTGAGACATTAACAGGTGCGTCATCTACCTGTACAGTATACCTAGTGTACTTTATTACTTTTATCTATACTTTACTTTTATCTTCTTCGTCACTGATCGGCTTGTTAACTGCTTGGGAGGTGGATCACGTCTCTGTTACACACTGCTAAGCTGGCAAGTACTAGGCATGTACTGGCTGGTCTTGAATGATCTCACTCTCTCTGGCGTATTTTTTGGTCCAGTTATCCTAGTATTGTTGTGTAAAGGAGATATTATTATTATTATTATTTTTTATTATTATTTCAGTCATTAAGAGTAGTAGGTAATAGTGTCATTTTTTATCCCAGGACTTTCGTCGTAAGTTACACGTAATATATAGTTATACAGTGTAACCAAAGGAAAAAACTTCATGTAAACGATGCTTCGATTTTTGTTACTTTTTACTTTTTTTCTGCCAAATTCCCAAATAACATCTGCGTGAAAGAATAAATGCAGTATGCTCGTATTTTCCTTTAGTTGGGGGTGAGAGTTATTACGTTTTTGTTTCACATAAAGGTAGACAGTTTTCTTTGAATCATATATTGGCTAACTTCACCATTCCTCTGAGAAAACCTTGTCCGTTCTGTGTGTGTCGGAATAATTCACTTAGCTTCAGCGTGTACAGTATATGGAGAGTGCAGGTATATGAACAATAACAAACAGTAGGTTGAATCATCTATGGATTTCCTAAAGAAAAGGCTGCCAGAAGCTTAGTTCCAGTGTGTCTCCATGTCTTGGTCCGGGCCAAAAGCAGAGCAAGTACTCGGCAAGCTGCGTTTTGTTGACTTGTGTAGGCACAAGAGACGACACGAGCTCCGAGACGTTCCATTTTTGATGAGTGAGCAGACCTTTGTGTGAAGTTCCGTCTCCTATCTACTCGCAAGGCGGTGTTCAGTTGTTTTTTCATGCTGTAGAAACTGGAGCAAGAACTGCCCGTGTGACCACGTTTGAAATAAATTGTTCGTAATTTATTGCTTCAAATTAATTGTTCATAAAAGCGCTCGTGTGGCCGCTGCTTTAGTAAGTTAGAAGAATGAGGTGTGGTGGTGCAGGTTTTAATTCTTCAATTTCCTGGTTGGTAATTTTCTTCTTGGTCATCTTATTTTCCTTGGCCACTCTCTCGGCCAATACATTTTTTAAGTGCAGGTCATCAATAGTCTTACACGGGGCCAGGTCATCAATAGTCTTACACAGGGCCAGGTCATCAATAGTCTTACACAGGGCCAGGTCATCAATAGTCGTACACAGGGCCAGATCATTTTTATTCTTTTCCTTGGCCGAAAATGACTATTTCTTTTCCTTGGTCACCTTTTTCTTGTGAGTGATAAATTCGATAAGTCTCCCCTTCAGATCTTAAGAGAATGGCCCAGAACACTGTGATAATAGAAAACTGTCTCTAAAGGGGTAACTTGTGGAAGGTAGTCTTGGTTTACCGTACAGCGTGTGAGTAATGTGACAATATTATCACACAAACTTGCACGAATATCTAAGAATGTGTGAAAAATTGCTAGAAATAATAGTTAGTATATTCTCATTCCTACTGCAACAGGATGGGTGGGTTGATGAAAGGATGGGGTGGGTAGGGTGGGCTGGGGTAGGGTAGGGTGGAGTGGAGTGAGAGGGTAAGTGAGTGGTTGAAAGGTTGGGGTGGGTGGGTAGGGTGGGCTGGGGTAGGGTAGGGTGGAGTGGAGTGAGAGGGTGAGTGAGTGGTTGAAAGGTTGGGGTGGGTGGGTAGGTGAGAGGGTGGGTGAGGTGAGAGGGTGGGTGAGGTGTGACTCATTATATGTATATCAACAAAGGTGGGTGATTCATGTTCATCCATCTCTGGCCTGGATGTCGTGGATGGTTGTAGTTACACATGGTGGGTGATGGATGGATGAATGGATAAACACCTGACGTCGTGGTGATTTAGGTAACATCCATATACCTGAATGTTGTCGTAATTAACCTGTGTATAGCATCTACCGTACCTTACTTGATTCCTTCACCTGAACAAGAAAAAAAATAGAGAAAAACTTAAAACTCACCCTTGGTAGTTGACCTATGAAACACCCTGTATAATTATGACGATGCTGTGGTGTGAAGACATTGAACTGCTCTCTCTCTCTCTCTCTCTCTCTCTCTCTCTCTCTCTCTCTCTCTCTCTCTCTCTCCAACACCAAATTTATTGCCAACACTCACAGAACCAACTAGAATGTGGTGTGTTATAGTGTACTGTAGTGGAGTGTGGTGTAGTATGGTGTAATGGATTGTGATAAGTTGTGTAGTGTAGTGTTGGGAGGGGGTGAGTACTGGAGAGCAGCAGTAGGGGGGGAGGGGGAGGGTAGAGGCATGTCGCGCTATAAAGTGATGATGACATATTTTGCCACCCAGCCACCAGATAAACTCTCCTTTATAAGTGACGTGAAGGACAAGTAGGCTAAAGTGCTTCTTATTTGTGTACATATCCCCTCCCCTCCCTCTCTCTCCCACCCTTCTCCTCTCCTCCCCTACCATCCCATCCCGCCCCCCCCCTCCCACCCTTTCCTCTACCATACCCCCCTCCCTCCCCCCCTCACCCTTTCCCATCCCGCCCTCTATCCCCCTATCCTTCCCCTTCCCTCCTACCACGTCACCTACAGTATATCCTTGTGGGGCGCAGCGTTAAGATACAGTGGTGGATCTTGGCAAGGTTCTACAGTCATAACATCTTAAGACCACAGGAACAGCAGGTTAGGGCCCGTGTACAGTGTTTGGTTCTTGGACTTGAATTTCACTAATGCTTGGTGTTTTTGACTGATTCACTGACTGACTCACTGACTGACTCACCTACGACGTTGCTTGAGGGGTTAGGTTTATTCTCGTAATGTATGGATAATTGAGTGTTTTGTAATGGTTAGGATCTGTTTTAGTCGTGTTGTTGTCCTCGATAGTGTTTTGTGTGTGTGTGAGAAGAGAGTCAGTCTTAGTAGTGAGGTAAAGATTGTTCTCTCTCTCTCTCTCTCTCTCTCTCTCTCTCTCTCTCTCTCTCTCTCTCTCTCTCTCTCTCTCTCTCGTGCGCCAGAGAGAGAGAGATAGTAGGAAGGAACTCTGTCAACCGAACCAGACTAAAAACAAACTTAAATTAATAGGCTTTTATGTTGGTCGTAAGTTTAGTCTATATGATCTTCAACTCTAATATTTGTCTTTCATTCCCGCCTTTTTTATATATATATATATATATATATATTTTTTTTTATATCTTCTGGCTGGTTAGAGAGAGAGAGAGAGAGAGAGATGTGTGTGTGTAAGTAGTGTAGCAAAAATGTCTTCCTTTATTTATTCTGGCGCCACAAAGACTTACGAGGTGTGGTAAAACATCTTTCAAACTTTAGAGAATAAAACACTCGGGCCGCGCGGTGATCTGTGTGCTGGTGGATAAGGAGGCGGCGATAAATTTGCGAGACATTTTACGCAGAAATTCTACAGGAACGGTGATAAATTGCTGAGAAATTTTGCGGGAAAAATTACTCACGCATGGTGATAAATTGGCGGGAAAGATCTCGCGGGAAATTCTACAAACACGATAGTAAACTGGCGGCGGGTGAGGAGGAGGAGGAAAAGTTTGCGCGGGAAATAACAGTGTTGTCGATGGCCAATCTGGTGGGGTCATATAATTTGTGATACGATGCTTTAACACGCAGCAGTAGCACGCACGTCGCCCCTAGCTCCTCAAGGGTTAATTATGACCCAACAGACCTCTAATTATCCCCCAGGGGTTCTCTAATTCCCAAACCCCCCTTCCCACTCATTGACCAGATAGACAACTTAACTTAGCGCCAGGTTAATGTCTAGAATGAGTTAATGGTGATAAGGTTAATAAGGCTGTTTCTCTCACTCCGACCCAGGGAATAAGTGTCGTATCACCTTACAAAATCTTATAAGAAAAATGGCTGAGTTAATGTCAAATATAAACATTGCAGATAACATGTCGTGAAGCTGATTGTCTTAGAATATTTTAACTAATTTAACCGTAGTTCCTATTTAAAGTGATGCCACGCACTAGGAAATAAGCCAAGATGGACGTCGTTCTACACGCCTCTGAATGTTGATAGAATGTTGGGATTTTTTGTTTTTGTCAAGTTATAGTTTACGTCATCATCGTTGGTCTTATAGTGTCTCGAGTTACCTGGTGTGTTTTAACCCTCTCGTCCACCTCCACAGTACAGCTCCTAGAACACAAACTCATTTTGACTTTCAGTGTTCTCAAGGTGGATAGATGGTCTTTATTAAAACTAACCTAACCTAACCTATCCTGACCTAACCTAACCTAAATTGATCAATCCTAACCTGACCTAACCTAACCTAACCTAACCTGACCTAACCTTTTGTCTGCAGGGGGATTTTGTCCTTGTACCCACGAATAACACAGCCAGTTGTCATCATCATCATCATCATCATCATCATCATCATCATCATCATGGCGTGCACCTAATTTACCTACTGTTAAAACTAGGTATGATATATATAGTTTAGTATGTACGGTACAGTCACAAGGTAGTTTAGACTCCATGTTTGTTTAGGGTGTGTTGTTAAAGGTGGGGGAGTTGTTACCTCTCTCCTACCCCCTCCCTTCCCAACCCTCCAGCTTCGTCTTCTTGTTGTCCTTCTCGTCCATCTTTCTTCTCTAGCCTCCTTCACCTTCCTCCATTCCCCCTTCTTCTCCACCTCCTCCACCACCACTCCCCCCCCTTTTGACCTGTACATTTTCCTCGTTCAACGCCTTAACAACGTATACCCAACGAACAACAACAACAACTACTACTACTACTACTACTACTACTACTACTACTACTACTACTACTACTACTACTACTACTACTACTACTACTACCAGCCCTTCAAAGAAAATGCAATTGTTTTCTGGACAATGATTATTACGAGGGACAAGTTGACAATTAAGGATAATATTTCATGTAATTACCCCATAAGGAAGTTCTTTAGACAATCCTTGAAAAAATATAATTGGGCAGATTATCACTCCTAATAAAGATGGCGTGACGACACAACTCATTGCTTGCTTCAAGTAGACAAAGTGGTGTTAATCTTTTCTGGTCTAGTGGCTGACTGGCTTGCTGACGGAACCGACCTGTTGTACTCACTTGGCGTTTTATCGTTATTTCCTCTAACTTAATCCTCGTCGGGAAGAATATAATTAAAGAATATAGATCTAATTTACCAATATATCCTGTATAACTCACATATTTTGGCTGTTTGTATTAATATATCAAATATGGCCTGGCGGTTATTATGGTCTGACGCGGTTGGGTGGTGTCGACGCTGCTGCAACTCATTTATTTATTACATGGAAAATAATGGGATTTGTTATTCTGATGCGTTTAATGAGTCGCAATGAACACACGTCTTATTCCCATAGATGAGTGTTATTAACTTACATATAGCGATTCAGATGTGGAAATTATTTATATATTAAGCTTTTTACTGGACATGGGATAATTGATATAGAAAATACTGTAAAAGAAATACCCGTAGAGTTAACTTAACATAAGTGAATACAAATATGAAAACTAATACGTGTGGGTTAATGTGAGTGTCTGGTGAGTATAACTTGATCTTAACTCAGTGGATGTTTACCATAATGAGTTAGAATACATGAATACACTAATGCTGTATATAGAAATGATTATGACGTCAAGATTAAGCCCCAGTTTACAGTATATCACCTTTAAGATTAATCTAACTTAACTAAATCTGACTTAACCGAACTGAATCTACTCTAACCTAACCCAATTTAAACCTAGCTTAAGTTAACCTAAGTAAACCTAATCAAAAGTAACCTAACGAAGCCTAGTCTAACCTCAATCTAAACTAACCTAACCTAATCTAACCTAACAGAGCCAAAACTTAACTTAACTAAACTAAAACTACCCTAACCTAACCTAACCTAACCAAACCTAACCTAACCTAACCTAATTAAACTTAACCTAACCTAACCTAACTTAATTAAATTTAATCTAATCTTGGTAAACCTAACCTAAGCAGAGGAGGGGGGGGGGGGCTGTAACTTCAGGTACTCCAGTCAACTCAGAAGGTAAACAAGACAGACGGACAGACAGTACTACAGGCTAACCAGGTCCTCGCTAAAATAATACCCCGGCGGTTAGGTTAGGTTAGGTTAGGTTATTCTAGCGTCGTGAAAAGGAAAATAAAATAAAAATCGTCCTTCGCTACGCTGGTCGGCCCTCACACGCAAGCCGCCATTACCCAACCTGTCAAGTAACCTAAGACCAGCCAGCAGCCTCCACCACGCGCACTCTAATCTGCATTTCCAGACAAACACACGCACGCAAAAAAAAACAAAACAAGCAAACAAGGAAGAAAACATACAACCAGCGTGTTCTTGTTAACACACACACACACACACACACATACCCAGAAGCCATTAGTCTGGACAAAGCGAATTTGATTTTTGCGTATGAAACACACTGGAAAATTGGGTCATTGCCATTAAAGCTTTATTCCCTCGGGGGTGTAATGAGGTTGGTGTGTGTGTGTGTGTGTGTGTTGCTCAAGTTATGCATCTCAAACGTTCGTAGATGTACAGTGAATTTGTTCCCCTCTCCTCCCTCCCTCTCACTCCTTCCCCCTCACCCCTTCCCCCTGACCCATCCCCCCTTCCCCTCACCCCTCCTGTGCTGGAAAATATTTTACTCTGGATTATGAGAGACTTATAGAGTTACAGCACACAGTTCTTAGGACCAGCGTTGATGTGTGTGTGTGTGTGTGTGTGAATCTTTTGACTATTGGATTTGATTTGTTGTAGTGGATGAGAGAGAGAGACTAATATATGTTGATATAATTGAGTGGCAGTTTATTTACGTACACAGGTAGTGAAAAATTACATGGTCTCTCTCTCTCTCTCTCTCTCTCGTGGCTAGTAGGTTCTCCTATCCCAACACCTTATAAACTTATCTATCCCCCAATTACTCAAAGTAACTATACCTCCCCAAACACACCCCCTCTTCCCCTTCTCCTTCCCTCCCCTCTGTAACTAATGTAGAGGTGGGAGGGGGGGGGGAGGGTTATCAAAGTACACAGCAGGTCGAATCAGGTGCAGTTACAAGTCGAATTGCTTGTCGTCGTTATAGAGGGTCAAGTTATCGTCGCGGGTGAAGATAAAAACAAAAGAGTAACGCCATCTTGGGTACATTGTTTACGAGGCAATACTTGTCATTGTAGATGTATATTACGACCTCTGCTCTCTACTTCCTGGCGATGTAGAGTTTATATATATACATTATCTTCAGGAATATACTGTAGAAGGGGGGTCTATTTATATATATTTGGAGTATATTACGATTTACAATCTACTTAGGGAGGTGTTTATAATTTAATTTCCCTAGTGTAAATATATACCTGTATATATATATATATATATATATATATATATATATATATATATATATATATATATATATATATATATATATATATATATATATTTCTCTGATAGAAAATGTATATTGTAGTGGTGTCATATATATTTGTTTGTATATTTTTTGAGGGGAGTGGTGGGGGGGGGGTGCTAACGATTTAACATCGTACTTAGCTAAATATTTATAGCTTTAATATTCCTCAGCTAAACTATGGTAAGGAGATCCGTTTTCTTTACACAGTATTAATAGTGGTGGTGGTGGTAGTAGTTGTAGTGATGGTAGTACAGTAGTAGTAATAGTCGTGGTAGTGGTTGTGGTAATATTAGTAGAAGTAGTGGTGGTAGTGGTTGTGTTAGTGGTGGTAATAGTAGAAGTAGTTGTGATAGTAGTAGTAGTAATAGTAGGTGGGATGGGACCAAGTGCAAGATGTTTCTACGCCAGACTCGCGGAGTTGATCTCCGAACAGAAGCAGCAGCCCAGAAGTTATGTCACAGCCTGGATGAGATGTCGACTGTCCTTCTCTCTCCTTCGGTCGGCTTTGCTCTGCCTCAGGGGAACGAGAGCTTCTGCCCCTACTCCGACAACTGCTGCAGATATTGACTATGAGGCTACAGTCACTAAATGCCGCATAGATCTGCGGCTCAACTAATTTAACACAGCTAGGATAGCTACTTATGTATTAGGATATTTAATATTAAGGTAATTAAATGGTGGCGAAGATGTGGCTATTGGGGGAGGCTGGAGGCCACGTTAAAAAAAAGTAGTAGTAGTAGTAGTAGTAGTAGTAGTAAATTAATGGCGTTGTTGTGTCTGGCTTCAGGATGTGATAAGTTTGCATTTCACAATACGGCATCCTGTCAGTGAGTGCCACACTGTGTATGGCCCTCTCTCAGCCAGGCCGCGGCACTGTCTCAACCAGCAGTCATAGTGCGGAGTAGTCGGAGTGAACTGACCTGCCCAGCGGTGAGTCTTTGTTCAGCTCTGTACATAAGATTAGTGTGTGTGTGTGTGTGTGTGTGTGTGTGCTTGTGCTTGTGCGTGTGTGTGTGTGCGTGTGTGTGTGTGTGTGTGTGTGTGTGTGTGTGTGTGTGTGTGTGTGTGTGTGTGTGTGTGTGTGTGTGTGTGTGTATGTGTGTGCGTGTGCGTGTGTGTGTGTGTGTGTGTGTGCGTGTGTGTGTGTGTGCGTGTGTGTGTGCGTGTAACATTTAAAACACTTACTTAATTTGTGTGTATATTGATGGTTAGGTTCGTGAGGGTAAGGTCCTAACAACTGTAGTGTAGTGCCGTGTAGTGTAGTGTAGTGTAGTGTAGTGTAGTGTAGTGTCTACTCAGCAGTAATTGGGAACCTGGATGTTAATCGATTTGCGGATCGTGTTCCGGGGTAGTGGTTAGCCAGTGCAGTTGGCGAGTTGTCCGGTCTTCTCGGACTATTCCTTGACACTGGGTCATGCAACTTGTTAACGGTTGTTGTGGTTGTTGTGTTGGCGACAGCTTCTATACCTTAAACAAATTCACGCCTAGATGGCCCTTGGGCCGGCCATCCTCGTTACACGAGGGGCAACCATTATTATTTATTATAATGTAGTGTTGTGTAAGGGCTGTAGTGTAGTATTGTGTAAGTAATTGTGTAAGGGCTGTAGTGTAGTATTGTGTAAGTAATTGTGAAGGGTTGCAATGTAGTATTGTGTAAGGACTGTAGTGTGGTATTGTGTAAGTAACTGTGTAAGGGCTGTATTATAGTATTGTGTAAGTAATTGTGTAAGGGTTGTAGTGTGGTATTGTGTAAGTAACTGTGTAAGGGCTGTATTGTAGTATTGTGTAAGGGTTGTAGTGTGGTATTGTGTAAGGGCTGTAGTGTAGTATTGTGTAAGTAATTGTGTAAGGGTTGTAGTGTGGTATTGTGTAAGGGTTGTAGTGTGGTATTGTGTAAGTAATTGTGTAAGGGTTGTAGTGTAGTATTGTGTAAGGGTTGTAGTGTGGTATTGTGTAATTAATTGTGTAAGGGTTGTAGTGTGGTATTGTGTAAGTAATTGTGTAAGGGCTGTATTGTAGTATTGTGTAAGTAATTGTGTAAGGGTTGGAGTGTAGTATTGTGTAAGGGCTGTAGTGTGGTATTGTGTAAGGACTGTAGACATGTGTAAAGAGTGAAGGATGTTAGCGTGGGATTCTCTCATACTGCTTATCGGTGATACAATGCTTCTCACACACACACACAAACACACTCACACTCACACACACACACACACACACACACACACACACACACACACACACACACACACATATCCTGCTCCGGGAAGCCCACTTGTGAACTACTCCTTCTTCCTCTTCTCCTTCTCCTTCTCTCATTCCTCCCCCTCTTCCTCCTCCTCTTCAGTTTACCCCCGCATCATGACACTACAGTATAATTTATATCCTCCACTCGTTAGTTTGTTTGTCTTGCATTAAGAGTTACCTGCTCACCTGTTCCCTCGCATAACTCGTTAATTAGTACAGTTCCGGCACAGCTCTGTATCCCCTCGTGCTGAAGGTTACTCAATAAGACGATTATAACAGCATTTTATTATTATTGGTATATACAACAGGTGTTCATTAACCACCACGTGTGAGATTTTGATACCGTGGTGTGTTCAGCGTGTGTCTTACTGTATATTTCACTCACTCACTCATTCACTCTCATACTCACTCACTCTCAAACTCACTCATTTTCACTCACTCACTCACTCACCATCAAGCTCACTCATTTTCACTCACTTACTCTCTCACTCACTCATTCACTCTCAAACTCACTCACTCACTCTCTTAACTCACTCATTCACTCTCAAACTCACTCATTCACTCACTCATACTCACTCACGCACTCACTCTAGCTGTGATTATTCTGTCTGATATATTTCACGTCAATCAATTAGTTGATCAGATCCCAGCAGCGAAATTTTTGTGTACAGAAAATATACATGTGAGTGTAGATGAACGGGTACAGGTGTGTGTGTGTGTGTACCTGCACGTATACCTGTCCTGAGTGACTTGCTACACACCTGGCTATGACCTCCACGCTTTTAACACCTTAAGTACGATGATTTAATCCCTTGAATATGGTGTTTTAAACCCTTGAGTATGGTGATTTAATCCCTTGAGTATGATGATTTAATCCCTTGAGTACGATGATTTAATCCCTTGAGTATGGTGATTTAATCCCTTGAGTACGATGATTTAATCCCTTGAGTATGATGATTTAACCCCTTGAATATGGTGTTTTAATCCCTTGAGTATGGTGATTTAATCCCTTGAGTATGATGATTTAATCCCTTGAATACGCAAATTTGACCCCTTGAGCATCATGAATTAATCTCTTGAGTATGATGACCTGATGACTTATCTTAAAGGGTTATGTCATCGTACTCAAGGGGTTAAATCATCATACTCGAGGGGTTAACACCTCCCGTTGTCATTAACTGAAGGTCGTTGCTGGTTAGTGTAACTCCAACACACAGCAAGAGTTAAGTTCGCCTCGATAAGTTAAGTATTGAAGATGTTGGATAAAGTTAAATACGACAAGTTAATTATAAAAGACATAGAATAAAGTTAAATACGACAAGTTAATGATAGAATAAAACTTGGGCAACAATTTCGAAACACAGGATAGAGTGTCGCTGTGTGATTCAACCTTTAACACGTAACTGTAATTTAAATGAGAGGAAATAGTGTATAGTTATGAGAAAAAACAATAATTTCTCTCATATGACTATTTTTAATTTGAAATGTGAGAAATAAGTTTTTTTATATTTTTTTTTTTTTTTGCTTTTTGATATGATTTTAAAATATTTGGTTTTAATGTTTTTATTTTATACAGATGGCGAGAGTTACGGTGTTGGTGATGGTGATGGTGGTGGTGATGGTGTGGGAGACGAGGGGGCAGGTGAATGAGGTGAACTCGGTAGGGGTGAGGGGGTCTTTTATCACCCCTACCGCACGATGGCTCCTCGGTATCTTCCAGAAATATGACGGTCGATCCAATGAATCTACAGTAAGTACTTTTATCATTCATGTACCGAGCACTCTGACACCTGTAATATTAATTGTTTAGTGTGTGTGTGTGTGTGTGTGTGTGTGTGTGTGTGTGTATGTATGTGTGTGTGTGTGTGTGTGTGTGTGTGTGTGTGTGTGTGTGTGTGTGTGTGTGTGTGGCGTAATGTTGCCTTGAAGTGATAGGCTTTATAAACGTCAAATGTCACAGGGTCGTTTACGTGTCGTGTGGACGATAGACAACGACCATCGGCTCTCAAGTGTATGCCTCGTGGCTCTCAAGTGTATGCCTCATGGCTCTTAGGTGCATGCCTCATGGCTCTTAAGTATATGCCTCATGGCTTTTAAGTGCATGCCTCATGGCTCTCAAGTGTATGCCTCATGGCTCAAGTGTATGCCTCATGGCTCTCAAGTGTATGCCTCATGGCTCTTAAGTGTATGTCTCATGGCTCTCAAGTGTATGCCTCAAGGCTCTTAAGTGTATGCCTCATGGCGCTTACGTGTATGCCTCATGGCTCTCAAGTGTATGTCTCATGGCTCTTAAGTGTATGTCTCATGGCTCTCAAGTGTATGTCTCATGGCTCTTAAGTGTATGCCTCATGCCTCTTAAGTGTATGCCTCATGGCTCTCAAGTGTATGTCTCATGGCTCTTAAGTGTATGCCTCATGAGAAGCCAGTTTATGTCTCACTTGGCTCTCAAGTGTATGTCTCACTTGGCTCTTAAGTGCTATGCCTCATGCCTCTTAAGTGTATGCTTCATGGCTCTCAAGTGTATGCTTCATGGCTCTCAAGTGTATGCCTGTGGCTCTTAGTTTATATCTCATGGCTCTCAAGTGTATGTCTCATGGCTCTCAAGTGTATGCCTCATGGCTCTTAAGTGTATGCTTCATGGCTCTTAAGTGTATGCTTCATGCCTCTCAAGTGTATGCTTCATGGCTCTCAAGTGTATGCTTCATGGCTCTCAAGTGTATGCCTCATGGCTCTTAAGTTTATGTCTCATGGCTCTCAAGTGTATGTCTCATGGCTCTCAAGTGTATGCCTCATGGCTCTTAAGTGTATGCTTCATGCCTCTCAAGTGTATGCCTCATGGCTCTTAAGTGTATGCTTCATGCCTCTCAAGTGTATGCTTCATGGCTCTCAAGTGTATGCTTCATGGCTCTCAAGTGTATGCCTCATGGCTCTTAAGTTTATGTCTCATGGCTCTCAAGTGTATGTCTCATGGCTCTCAAGTGTATGCCTCATGGCTCTTAAGTGTATGCTTCATGCCTCTCAAGTGTATGCCTCATGGCTCTCAAGTGTATGCTTCATGGTCTTGGCTCATGGCCCAGGTGTGACCTGTAACACCCAGGTGTTATATTATTGCCTCCTGTTAAAGTTGTAGTTGTGTGTTGATGATTTAATTACTGAAAACATTATACATGCTTTAATGACAGGTCTTTATCCTTAAGAGATGACTAATTACAGGTAACAAGTTGTCCTCCCTGCCAATCACCAACAGTATTCTTGTCTGATACTTGTTTGTTTCGATAACACCAATCGAGAAAAAGGGTTTAATAGAGTTTAATGTTCAAAAAGGCTAAACAAGACATAATTCATGACTCAGGTGTATGGCAATAATGATGGCTTAATATACGTGATGCAGCTGACCTCTGACCTTCTACTTACAGCCAGACTTGATAAGATCGAGCGGCTACCCTGCTGAGACTCACCATGTGACCACTGAGGACGGCTACATCCTGGAGCTGCACAGGATCCCGTGTGGTGTGCAGTGTGTCCTGACGGAGGAGCACCGCCCTCGACCCGTGGCTCTCCTGCACCACTGTCTCCTCTGTTCCTCCTCTGACTTCGTGATGAACACTCCTGATAAAGCTCTTGGTGGGTCCTCGTGTCAGGCTGCATGTTAGCCCCAGATTTTCTCACCTTACGATTAAGTACCCAAACTTAACCTAACCTAACCTAACCAAACCAAACCAAACCTAACCTAACCTAACCTAACCAAACCTAACCTAACCTAACCTAACCTAACCTAACCTAACCCGACCCCCTAAGGTAACATGAGGGAGTTTAATCTTAGGGTGAAAACTGAGGAATAATCTTCATGTGATCCAATAATTTAATCGTGAGAATTTGTACAGTCATTTATCGTCCTCAAGTATGATACAATAGTCGTGTGTGTTTGTGGGTCACCTCGAGGGCTGAGATATCCTGCAATTAGTATCCTTCCTCAGGGTGCTAAGGATATACGAGTATTATAATAGTGATCTCACCAACACACAAACTTAATGTATTCGAGTATGATATTCTAGAACCTTGGGCACGGATAAGTAACAGCCGTGGAGGACATGTAAGTAGCTTCATTTGTACTGATACATCTTCATGACATATTGTTCGTAATTATTAATATATGGAGGTAAAACTCAAAAGGAAAATGGAAACAGGAGCTTGGAGCCATCATCTGTTTCCCTGGTACAAGGTTCATCACTCTGTTTCCCTTGAGAATGTTATTGTATCTTACACTTTATGTCTGAATAAGGAATCTCTTTGTAATTATTGATAAATGTCTTGTTGGGTTATGATGTAGTTATAATGCTGTAAATTATCCCTGACAGCCTATATGATGGCAGACGCTGGGTACGACGTCTGGCTCACCAACGCCCGCGGCAACACCTACTCCAGGAACCACGTCCATCTCTCGCCTGAGGACAAGGAATTCTGGCAATTCAGGTGAGCAGGTACTCGAGTATATTGTAGAATCCTTCGTAGATACTAAGAACATTATGGTGGTCCTGAGTGCACCCAGCTGTGAAGGGACACTTAACATTGCAGTTGAGAAAGTGAAGACGAAGGAGAGTATTGTCAGCCATACTGTCTCTTTCCCTATCACTCACATCAAGGAATATCCAACAAGGAAGTATGACTCTCCCTTATAGCCATTTTTCTCCGAGAGTTATTCTTCCTTTTTTTTTGGATATTCCTTGATCCACACTGTCCCAAACGGAGCGCTAGGCGTGTGGGACCCATTTTTCCATTTTCCTCAATACAATGTTTATGCAAATCTAGCCGTACATTTTACATTTTCTATTCACTGAGACTTTATTTAATAGCAGTAGGACAGTAGGTTTTCCTCGTAATTAACAATCATCATACATTTGTAGCTGGAATGAGATGGCGATGTATGACGTACCGGCAGTTATAGACTATGTGCTGAACGTGACGCGACAGGAGGACCTCTACTACGTGGGCTTCAGTATGGGCACCACTGTCTTCTGGGCCATGATGAGTGAGCGGCCAGAGTACGCTAACAAGGTACTCAACTGTTACTGTCTCAAGGATCTCTTTATTGATCCTCTTAAACCTTGAAAGACCCGGGCTTAAACTATCATCAAAGGGTTGAACTGTTTTCCTTAGAGGGTTAAAACATTGCCTTCAAAAGGATTAAAATTATCTCTAATTGATTTGTATCGCAGGTAAATTCATCTACAGGTACTGTATAGGTAGATATTAATTACATTCAGTAGGTTTTAATTATCAAAGCAAATGATACTAAAACATCTAATTATTACTAGTAATTTTTGTAATGCTCAATCCAAATTTTACGTTTAGAAATAATTGAGCTGTATTTCAGAAACATCCCTCATGGAGTATATAGCTGCTACATAAACAGTATAATATATGTAGAAACTTATAGCTGGCTATATTATACATATCCACCTGTTGTATACCACTACCAGGCTATTCATTAACCTGTACCAGTCCTTCCCACCACCACTACACCTGTGCTAAGAATTTCCCTGTGCTAACCATCATCTTTATCATATTAAAATATTTCCATCCTGACACACACACAGATACGTTTCATGGTAGCGTTGGGTCCTGTAGCGCACGTCCAGCACATAGCAGGCCCTCTGGGATACCTGGCACCGTTCGTCTCACAGATAGAGGTAAGAGGGTCTACTTTCTGTGACGTTCGGTGTAATAACAACAGTAAGGTAGAATTTTGTTATATCGTTGATGCAGCTTATAAGGGATTCAGTAGTCAGATTAAACACTACGAGAGTTTTTTTTGACGATTCTTTAAAATATTTCACAGTCACTAATTTGTTTATGTTAATTATACTCTACCCGGCTAACACAATTATAGTCATTATTGTCATTGAGGGTTATTATAGACACAGTACTAATATTAAAAGCACAATATGCATAAGATTCACCGTAATCAAGACCTTGCTCTGAGAAACACAAACAAGCACAACTGAGTCAGAAAATAATCATTAATTTTTGTTTGTAAATAAAGTGTAATAAATTCTACTTAATCATCACATTCGTTTACACCTGTAAGTAGATTTGTATCACCTGGAGGTTGGTGACCCCAGCTTATTCCACCTGAAGATTAACGACCCTAATGCTAACCTAAACTAATCTATGCTACTCTCCCACAGGTAGCGTTAGGGGTGTCTAATCTTTAGGTGATATAAGCTTGGGTGTCTAATCTACAGGTCATCTGTTGACTGTTGATACATATCTAGTGTCATGTCTACTATGTGTACCATGTCTAGTGTGTCATGTTTATTGTGTGATATTAATACATGTACATTTCTTCCCCTTCTGCTGTAGATAACAATGAACCTGCTGGGGAAGTACGAGTTGCTCTCCTTCGGGCCAGTCATAGACCGCCTCATCAGCACCTTCTGTAATGAGCAACTCTTCACGTCTGCCATCTGCCAGAACATCCTCTTCCTCATCTGTGGACCAAACCCTAAAGAGATGAATAAGGTGAGCTCTCAGTAGACACCTTCAGTACTGTTTTGCTATGTGTCTCCTCCTAACCTAACCTAACCTAACCTAGTCTTGACCGTCCAGTGTGAACAAGTGATTAAGATAAACTCGGTTGTGGTTTGGTCATGTTAGGTTAGGTTAGGTTTTGGTGAGGTTATGGATGTATATATTGAGGCAGTGTTGGGGGGAAGTGGGTTAAGGTCAGCCAATACTCCCGTCACTGCTTTTATTTCTGGAAGATATTAACTCGTAAACTCTTCAACTGATTAAGCTTTATACTTAATCCCTTGAGTACGAAGATTTAACCCTCTTGAGTACGATGACTTAGTCGTTTGAATACTATGACCTCTCCCCTTGAGTACGATGGCATTGGGCCCAGGAAGGTAAGTCATCTTCCTCAGGGAATTAAGTAATCTTACTCAAAGGGTTAATTAATCTTGTTCAAGGGATTAAATCATCCTACTCAGGGAATTAAAGCTCATTTTAGGATTAAAGGCTCACATGTAGATGATACTAATTATGTTTCAGGAGTTCTTGCCCATCATGTTGTCTCACACGCCAGCAGGGACCTCAGTACGGACCGTCACTCATTACCTTCAGGAGGCCCGCTCAGGTCTGTACCCCGCGACGCCACACACCTGAACACTGAGTAGCTGTTCAGGTGTGTGGCGTACTTGTGTAAACAGATGTAAACATGGCTGAATCACGAAAAACATTGACGGTAGTTTTAATCGTCTGTTTACCTTGATGTTGTTTAGTGATACAAAAATAATTATTAATACTCAACTACTTTTATCAGAGAAATTATAACAAAATAACTAGGGTTTTTTGTTTTTGTTTTTTAATAATTATGACCCCACTAAGAACTCTCATAATGATAATAATTGAACAAATACTTCAGGAGTTTGTTCTTCAGTTATGGTAATGTTGATATCCATAGATTTTAATACTGCACCTGCATACCTTTTACAATTTTGTCAATAATAGTTTACTTTTTTGTTTAGGGAATTTTGGCCTCCATTTACTTTTAAAACTTAATCACCAGAATAAGTATAAAATAAATTAGCTCTTATTTTATTTTATTTTCAGGGAAATTTCAGAAGTATGATTTCGGCACGTTGGGGAACCTTCGTCAGTACGGCTCACTGTCACCTCCGTCATATAACCTGAGCCGAGTTACTGTCCCTGTGGCTCTCTTCTGGTCTGACAATGACTGGCTGGCAGATCCTACAGTAAGACGTCATATTAAATGTTATTGAATTATGTAGAGGAAGAATTTTATTGAGTTAGAGAAGGAAAAACAACTTTGAATTGAGTGAGTTAGTTATTTTATGAGTGGAAATCATAAAGAGAAAGAAAAGTCTTAAGTAAATATATTTTTGCATCACTCAGTATATAAGTTAGTGGTAGAGAGTTAGTTTTGTTCGTTAGGTTAATACTTGAAAATAGTTAAAGAATATCTCCTGTAATTTGGTCTCCATTTAACCTAACAAAGCCAAACCTACCCAACCCAACCCAACCCCCAACCAAACAACCAACAGCACCCCAACCCAACCCAACCCAACCCAACCCAAATACAATTCTATCCCATGTTATATACATATACAGTATATCATGTCTCCTGGAGGGGTTATTACTGATCAGTTCATCGGTGTTCAGGATGTGTTGCACCTGGTGGGTCAGCTGCCTCACGTCGTCTACAGCCATCGCGTTGAGGACTCCAAGTTTACCCACCTTGATTTTGTTTGGTGAGTTGTTTGTGTGTTTGTGGGTGTTTGTGTGTGTTGTGGGGTGTTTGTGTGTGTTGTGGGGTGTTTGTGTGTTGTGGGGTGTTTGTGTGTTGTGGGGTGTTTGTGTGTTGTGGGGTGTTTTGTGTGTTAGGGGTGTTTGTGTTGTGGGGTGTTTGTGTGTTGGGGTGTTTGTGTATGTCAGGGGGTGTTTGTGTGTTGGGGGGTGTTTGTGTGTTGTGGGGTGTTTGTGTGTGTTGGGGTGTTTGTGTGTGTGTGTGGGTGTTTGTGTGTTGTGGGGTATTTGAGTGTTTCAGGTGTTTGTGTGTTTGTGGGTGTTTGTGTGTGTTGTGGGGTGTTTGTGTGTGTTGTGGGGTGTTTGTGTGTTGTGGGGTGTTTGTGTGTTGTGGGGTGTTTGTGTGTTGTGGGGTGTTTGTGTGTTGTGGGGGGTGTTTGTGTGTCAGGGTTTGTGTGTGTTGTGGGGTGTTTGTGTGTGTGTGGGTGTTTGTGTGTTGTGGGGTATTTGAGTGTTTCAGGGTGTTTGTGTGTGTGTGGGTGTGTGTGTTGTGGGTGTTTGTGTGTTGTGGGGTGTTTGTGTGTGTGTGGGGTGCTTGTGTGTGTGTGGGGTGTTTGTGTGTTATGGGAGTGTTTGTGTATCATATACCACATGAGTAACTATGTACAGTACAGTCTTTCTAATATGTAACCACCACGACTATGCATTACTCCATTTAATAGTGCCAAAAATATATAAGTATTCTGTATAATTTCAAGGGTTCAGGTATAATGCTTCTCGTCTACACCATCAATTATCTTCATTATAAACCTTGTAGAGTCATTTCACTATAGTGCTCTGTGACGCTGTAACTTTATTTGAGTGTTAGATATATTGAAATCTTAATATTTTGCATTATTTTATATCTCTACAGGGCTCTACACGCTGACAAGTTGGTCTACCATGATCTCCTGCGTGTTCTGGCACAGTATTAGTCCTCCTCTGTCTCCTCACAATAAACAAGATACTTACCTCCGTGCTCAAGACCAGAGGATATATTTACAAGCAAGGTCTCTATCTCTCTCCCCCTAGTGATGATGTAGTGTTGATTAATGATTTATTATACTGTAGTTTATCTAATACAGTGGTTGAGGGATTTTTTTTAGATCACGTTGAGGTATTGTGTTGATTCATGTATTTTGTAGAGGTAGGTAGGAGGTGTAATGTACCTGTACTTTTGTTATGTAGTAAGGAAGGGTAATTTCATTTATTCCTTTATTAGATTTATATTAGTCACAGAATATTAAACTATTTTGTATTTTATATACGTATATATTTGTGGTGATTATTTAATAAACAATAAATTACAAAAAAACAGCTTCAGTATTTATTTCAGTGTTTATTAGTTAATTAGCTTCATGTCTGTATGTATAATGTACTACGTCCCATGGTCACCTGTAGAGTCACACCTGTAGAGTAACACCTGTAGAGTAACACCTGTAGAGTAACACCTATATAGTAACACCTGTAGAGTAACACCTATATAGTAACACCTGTAGAGTAACACCTGTAGAGTAACACCTGTAGAGTAACACCTATATTGTAACACCTGTAGAGTAACACCTGTAGAGTAACACCTATATAGTAACACCTATATAGTAGCACCTATATAGTAACACCTATATAGTAACACCTGTAGAGTAACACCTGTAGAGTAACACCTGAATAGTAACACCTGTAGAGTGTTACCTGTAGATTATTATCTCCTAGACTGTGGTTATACCTGCTTTTGGAGACCTGTGAGTGATTGTATGTACATAGAGTTTGAATTGATACTAGACACTCCTTACCACACTTATTATCACCCTCACTGTTGGGGAGAAAACGTAAGCTGGAGGTCCACCCTTTCTTGCTTATCTAAACTCGAGACCAATTTCTTGTGAGGCGACTATGGTAACCACTAGAGGCCGGGAACTAGTGTGTGTGTGTGTTCTGTTGTCCGTCTGTGCGTCCCATTTACCCTCTTATAGCTGGTAGGAACACACACACACACCCACACACACACATATGTACAGAAGCCAGATCAATAATTTTAATAAGGGCCGCCAGAGGACAAGGAAGCTCTCGTGATGGTTGCAGTTTTGTCACCAGGTAATTACAGGAAGGTGTCCAGGTGTTCTTATCTGATCCTCTACACAGGAAGTTTGGTGACTATAGTGTTGTATCAGTGACCTGTATACTAGAGAAGTAACTAAAGTGTTCTTAGATGGTACATAGTGTTTGTGGTTTACTAATTGACTGAAGTTGGAGGTGAGATATAACATTGTTTACACGGTGTAGCACAAGTCTTAAGGTCGCTCAACACTGCACTGTACATTGTTCTTCAAAGCCAAGACGTCGAGGTTAGTCGCAGATAGTAACATCGAGGCTCCAAACTGAGGGTTTTTCTCTATTAAAAAACTTGTCAGACTCGCTAATGGAACCTAATAATAAGCTGATCAGGTTCTGGGACTAAAAAGGTGTAATTCTTGTAGATATTTTTGCTAATTGCTTTAACAAATTTAATTATTTTTTAATATCTTTCTGTAAGTTTTTTATTCCAGCTTTTCATCCTCAGATGATACGATTGAAGTTTAAAAGCAGTTGAACACATTAATTGACAAACCGAAAACATGAAAGTTTTCCAGTGGAAAAAATATATATTTTTTTAATTTATTTCATTTTTTTTAATTTCTTAAAAGTCTCACCAAAGATATTTACGAAAATATTGGTTCAGATTTTGGTGTGAAAAATATCCATTTCTTTTAATTAGTCTCGTCAATTGCTTCAAAATCAATTGAATTTATTTATTTTTATTAAAACACCACATTTCGTAGTTTTTTACTAACGAACCTGCCTTACCTCACCTCACCGCCTCACACACACAAGAGCCACCGGGATTACAAGAGAGAGAGAGAGAAAAAAAAATCTTGATCAGATAATAATTGTCTTTGACCAGTTTCGTCACGAGTGAGTTTTACGAGATAGAAACTACATTAGCTCTCACGGGGGAAAAAATATCGTGAAAATTGTGAACGAAGTGAAGGTAATGTTACAAAGACGAGACTAACGAGGGAGTGAGACTCGTTAGTGTGATGACGGGTACACAATTACCTGCGTCTCTACCTGGCTGTGGAGAGGAGAAGGAAAGGGTGAAGGGAGGAAAGATGAGGAGGCTGAAAGGAGGGGGTGAAGAGGAGTGGTGAAGAGAAGGAGGTTGAAGGGAGGAGATAACAAGAGGAGGAGAGGAGACGAGAGTGAAAGGAATATTAGGAGAACAAATAAGAAGAGAATTAATTTAAGAATAAAGAATGAGGTAGCCAGTGTTATTATTATTATTATTATTATTATTATTATTAGTAATACAACAGTAGTACACACACACACACACATATACACACACACACATATATACACACACACATACACATCCTTGACACATTAAGGTAATATAGCAGCAGGTCATTAGTAGTGATATATTAAGAGCATATATTGGCCAGACACGGTATTAATGCTACTAATTTCTGCCCGACCATCCCCAGATAACACACACTGCCAACTTAGCCAGGCACTTTCTGGTTAGTACTTTTTTTTAATGGTACTTTCGCGATGGTGTTTTCTGAATAGTACTTTCTAATGGTACTTTTTGAATATGGTAGTTCTTTTTAGGTGGTACTTTCTGAATGGCACTTTCTAAACAGTACAAGGGAAGTAGAAATTTGAACTGGGCACTTTCTAAAAAAATACTTTATAAGCAAAACTTTCTAAATAGTACAGAACTTTCTAAAAACACCACTCTCTAGATGGCACTTTTTCTTAACACGCTTTCTACTCTATCACTGCTGAAATGGCACTTTCCAAATATCACTTTACCGAGAGAAAGTTGCAAACACTGTAACACTTTCTATATCCTGCCGCCGCTCTCTAAATTAAAAAGTCAGGATTTATCCAACATCCATAAATTTTCTTAATTAGTAAGTTTAGGTACGCAGTGAGGCAACTGTCTGAGTGTATGTTAGGTTAGGTTATTGGTGAGTCTCTCTCTCTCTCTCTCTCTCTCTCGTATCTTTTCCGGTTTTGTCTCTCTAATCTTTCTCTCCATCTGTCTATCTATCCATCTATCTATTATTTCTCTCACATTTCTTTATTTATCTCTCAGTCTCTCTCTCTCTAGTTGTCTCTTTCCTTCTCTCAGTTTCTATATATCTATCTCATTTCTTTCTCAATCTCTCTTTTATTTCCCTTTATTTATCTCTCTCACTCGTTCTCTCTTTATCAGATATTCGTGTTAATTCTCAACTCTTATTCTAATTATATTCGAGTGAGTTTGTATTTTTGAGTGCGTTTGTACGTATGTGTGTATGCAAATGTGTTTATGTATCTATCAGTTGTATGTGTGCATGTATGTTTGTGTGTACGAGTATGTCTAGCAAGTGTGTGTGTGTGTGTGTGTGTGTGAGTGTGTGTGTGTGTGTGTGTGTGTTTTATGATGAAGTGAACGCTTTTCTATGATGAAATATATAAATTTAATGATCTCAGTAGGAAAGCGAGAGAGAGAGAGAGAGAGAGAGAGAGAGAGAGAGAGAGAGAGAGAGAGAGAGACTTTGCGTTCTTTTACGAAATTAATCTGATTTTATTTTATTATTTTTTATTATCCGTTCTATCAACAATTTATTTATTCCCTAAATCGGTTCAGCTCCACGTGACACTGTATTCCTAGACACGATTTATTTTATTTATTTTATTTCCCGAGTCAGATAAATTACCGGGAATCTATACAACCCGGGAATGGTTTTCTAATGGCTTCCAATATTATTTTACCGGTTGGGGGAAATTTCCTGCCCATATATAATTGTAACGCCATTTAGAATCGAATTTATGGTTGGAAGATTAAATTTAGATTCCATTTTCTATAAGATCTTGGTAAGGTGGGAGTGGGGAGGAGGGGGTGAAGGTGGGGAGAGAGGGAGGGGAAACTTATAATATTCTCGAGGTTATTGAAGACTTTTAATATACCAGGGGGAGGATTCTCTGGCGTTCGTGTTTGACATTATTGGAGCCTTTGGTAAGTCGGAGGTAAAACAGCTTGTTGTGTTTTTTTTTTCCTGTGTGAGTTTGGCAAGTGGATTTAATTGGTTCGGATGGGTTAAACTTTGGTACTCAAAGGGTTAAAGCATCGCTAGGAAGGGGTTAAACCATCGTCCTCAAAGGGTTAAACCATCGTCCTCAAAGAGTTAAACCATCGTCCTCAAAGGGTTAAACCATCATCCTCAAAGGGTTAAACCATTATCATCAAAGAGTTAAACCATCGTCCTCAAAGGGTTAAACCATCGCACTCAAAGGGTTAAACCATCGCACTCAAAGGGTTAAAGCATCGTCCTCAAAGGGTTAAACCATCGTCCTCAAAGGGTTAAACCATCGTCCTCAAAGGGTTAAACCATCATCCTCAAAGAGTTAAACCATCGTCCTCAAAGGGTTAAACCATCATCATCAAAGGGTTAAACCATCATCCTCAAAGAGTTAAACCATCGTCCTCAAAGGGTTAAACCTTCGTCCTCAAAGGCTTAAACCATCATCCTCAAAGGGTTAAACCATCGTCCTCAAAGGGTTAAACCATCGTCCTCAAAGAGTTAAATCGTCGAAAATATTGAATTGGTTGAGAACACTTATATTAAAGACAAAATATTGACATGTTAGAAGCAACACATATTGACACTCTTGTACAGTTCAAAGGTAAACATCAAATGCTCTAAACTTACCTTTGACAACCTTTTGATCTTGACATACTGGACACGGAACTAATGATTTTTAGTAAGATAAATTCGGTTTGAAAAGGGGTGCTGTGGCTGAGTGGATACACCTGTCAGCCTCCCTTCCTAAGAGTCACTGGTTCGTTACCTGACTTTACTTACCCTAACCTAACTAGTCCTGACCTTAAGCCATCCTAACCTAACTTGACCCCTACTCTAACCTAACTTGTTCTTAACCTACCCTAGGCTAACCAACCTAACCTACCCAAATCAGAACCTAACCTACCCAAACCAGAACCTAACCTAACCAAACCAGAACCTAACCTATCCAAAGCAGAACCTAACCTAACCTAACAAAAGCACACAGGCGATGACTGTATAGAATGAACCACTAGACAGGTAAAAATATAACTTTACTGCATCAAACTGTCAAACTTGTGCCAACTCACTACTTTGATGTTGACCTCATGTTCTGATATTACCACGGACGCCACTGACTGATGTGTAATACGCCATGAGTGGAGGTGGTGCAGTGGCCCAGGTTATTAGTGGTGCAGTGGCCCAGGTTATT